TTTTTTTTTTTTTTTGTTTTTCCCATCGTTTCAAAGCATAACAAATGATGATTATTGGTTGTATTGATAAAACAAACATCTATTGCAGAACAATTGTTATTAAACCATTTTTGCATCAAACGGTTTAAGCAGTAATTTGAAACTGCAGCAGATATATCAATTTTGATGCATCCAAACCGTTGTATGTTTAGTAAAATTGCATTTTTTAACCACACACCAGTTCTGGTGTGTTTATATGTGAGAGTTGAACAAGAACTAAAAAAGCATTACAAGAAAGAAAAAGTAAAGTTGTTTTAAGAGTTTATTCAAAACTTCAAATTATCACCTTACGCTGGGAACATCTGATTTTAGTGGTGTACTCCGGCATGACTCTCCACCAGTATTGTAGGCGCTGGAAGTTTCGTCAAATCGGCCTGGAACACAAGTGTCATGCATGCTGCTTATTGTGTTGATCAGAGAATCCGCTTGAGCCATCTAAACAGAAGTAGGATTTATTTAGTTAGGGTAAGCTGGCTGCTACACATTATACAAATCACAAAATCTTCAGTGAACACAGCCTTTCGTTGCAGCAATCAGTTACCAATAACCTTCACTAAATTATCACTTGACCTCTTAAGAATTGTAGAAATGGAGGTGAAGAAACAGGGAGAAAGAGAGAAGAGAAGAGAACAGAAGACAGAGAGATGGACAACGAGTAGCAAAAAAAAAGTGCTTGGAACAGCAGTGATATGGCAACAAAAACAGCAAAAACAGCAACTTAACGTGAGCAAACGTTTTTCGTCACAAAAACTTAATAGATTACTTTGATGTATATTTTATTCTTTCTTCAATTCTTATTTCTGTTGAATCTTCATAATTTCTAGTTGAAGACGAAGATGAAGAAAAATAGATCAGGTTGCAGTTTTACTCTCAGCTTTCTTTTCAGTTTATCAATGAAATATTTTTGCAATTTCTGTTGTGCTCTTTACCCTTGCCTGTTCTTTTTTTCCCTTTCTCGAAATCTTCAAAATGCTTTGTAAAATGACAGCTTATATGATCTTTTCTCACTTATGGGTTAGGCAGCTTGGCCTAAACGTCGAACCGTAGATAAAGATAAACCACAAGCATATGTAAAGCAGTGATGTTGTGCAACATTGATTAATCTAACCGCAGAAGTCATCGCCTGCACTGATCACCGTGCACTGTAAAGATTACGTCCACTAAATGTAAGGTTCGACTTAGTGCCATCATCCATATTCTGTTCTTGGTAGTTTTCTGTCATTGACTGGAATTAAAGCCGATTTACCTGTCTTATTACTCGTTTTTCGGCATTTTCGTGTTTTGAGATCAAACGGTCGCATTCCAGTCTGATTGTCTCCATTTCCTTATGTAACAAAGCCAGTTCCTGATCCAGCGATATCTCATTGCTACACCTACAAAGGTACATAAGATAATTTTAAGAAATCTGTCATTATGGTCGAGATAAATGTGCAGATCAAAACTAAGTTCTAAAATAAAATTTAAACTTTTTTCATTTTGTTCCTTTATTTGTCGTTTTTCCGTTTGTTCTTAACTCACTCGTTCAAAAAATAACTGGTCTTAGTAACTTCAACAGTTATTTTAAAAAAAAAGCTGATTAAAAATCGATTTTTTTACTCCTTTTTGAGTATTGCTAAGAAATGGTGTAGACGTTATTCTAATTTGATTTTTTAAATTGGCCACAAAGAATGTGACATACCGCTAAGTCACCAATTCAGCTTCACTTCGTTTTCTTGTTTCTCCGTTCTTTTTAATCTTCTTTTTGCTCATTTTTTTAATCTGTTTCTGTCTAATTGTTGAAAAGTTTTCTGTGGGTTAAACCGTTCAATATATTTTAATTTAACACTTTTTAAGTGGTGCTAAAACTATCGTCAGAGGGAACAACACTTATTTTTTCACAAATTTCCTTAATAAGCCAAGAAAGCAAAAAAAAGAAAACTTTTTTCTCTGCAGGTCACCGAAAAAAAACATACTTTTTTGTTCTGAAACACCAAAGCCACATCCGCATGTAAAGAAGAAGGTGATCAATGAATTAACTTGTGAAGAACAGTGCGTGTATGTGTGTAATTGATAATGATGATGGTGGTGACGGTGATTAAGGTGAGGATAATAAAGATAATAATGATGACGTTGCTGATCAGCAAAACATTAGCATTTAGCTGATCGTATAAACTACAGTGGACAATGATTAATACAAATTTAGTTTTGCATCTAGTGAGGTGATTATAACTCCTTTTTTTTCTAAAAGTTGCAAAAAAAGACAAAAAAAAGCCGGAAGTTTGTCAACAACTGCAATGATTATAATACCGACAACAACGACAGCAGCAGAAAACAACAGATTTGTCAATGTCTGTCGCAAGTTCAGAGAGCCAAAAAAAACTACTAAAGCAGACAGATTTTCAGCTGTATGATAAAGTTTTCTGAGTGTTTATATGTGTGCTTGTATCAAACGCCATTTGGCAAATTTCGCTGCTAGTATCAGTAAAAAATTACCAGCTAAAAAAATCGTATACATTAATTGCTCAAAAGACACTTTTTTGAAGAATGTTCTTTTCACATCCCTTTTTCCCCTTTTCCTCACCCTTCCATCTACCGCCCCTCCCCCTTCCGCTTTCTCATCCCTATCCTCTTCCATATACCCTCCTTCGCCCTCCTTAATTCCTTTTCTTCTCCCCTCCCCTCGCCCAGTTACGCAAAAATACACGGTAGCAACCAGTGGGTATACGTGAAACGTATCAAAAATACAACACGTATAAAAGCAAAAACAAAAGTATGAAACAGATACCCAGACAAGATACGTTCAGAGAGCTAACTTAGAGGTCAGAACAAAGAAAAAAAAGGGAAAAAACAGTCCAATTTGAATTGGTTAAATGCCAGAACAATTAGCCAAAACATAAGTATCAGTTATCAAAACTGTTGTTGAACAAACGCAATCAAAAAGCAATGGTAGAAAACATAAAGGCGAAATGCTTCCTCCCTTTCCCATTTCTCCCTCTCCCCTCCCTTCCCCTTAAAAAACAAATCCCCGTCGACGGGCACCGTTTGATTGATTAATGCAGATCAGAGTGGTTGAAGCCAACAAAACCGCATCGACCCAACAGACACTGAGAATATCACCAATGATTGGTGAAAAAAAAAAAAAACAAAGCAACAACAAAAAGGCTAAACAGTGTATATACGTAAAGCTTAGTTAGATGTTTTTTTCTTCACTAAAATATCCCTACCAAAAAGTTCATTAATTTGTAAAAATCGTTAAGAAACGCTGAAAGCATAAAAATTGAATGTTTACAGTACTTAAAGAGAAATCCATTAATTTCAAAATAAAAATTTGTTGGTATTACCGTTTTTCCTTCTGATTTTGTCTTTCATTACTTCTACTTTTAAATACACTCTTCTCTGAAATTGCTAGAAACGACAAATAAAAAGTTTAAAATTATTTGTGTCAAAAGTATGAATCAATAAGAGCATTGGTTGCGTAAAATATACACACATACATATATACAAACAGATAAACAATAAGCGTACTGCTGACCTAAGTGAAAACAACACTGATTTTTGTACTCAGATTGTTAATTATATATTTTGAGGCAGTGGTGGCAAAGTAATCTTTGTTGTTCTTAGTTACTTCTAATTTTTTCTTTCTTCACTTATTTTAACACTAATAAGTTTGCTCTCAGGCAAAATTTAACTATCGAATATTAAGAAATATATTCACTGAGCGTTTAGCTACTATCAGCTGTACATTAGGCCAAATACTTTTCTTCCCATATTTTTTTGAAAAAAAATTTCCAGTTCAGCTAAAAGAAGGTTGGTTAGTGTTGTGTATTTGTGTTTTTTAGCTAAAACTCATCGCTTAAACTTAAATTTTTTTCTTTCGCATCAGCCTTTCTAAATACGATGAATTTGCTTAAGTTTCATTTAAAAAATTTTGTATATATTTCTGCTTTATCTCGCTGCAAGTGAACAGTCTTACAGCAGAAAGCATACTGACAACAAAGAAATTTTGTACAGATTACAGAGGCAATATGCTCGACTGTTAAATGACTATATCAAGCATTTCACTCACCTAATCTTTCATCAATATAGATATGAGTTTAAACTAAACTAAACCCACCTATTACTCAGCTAAAAACAAAACGGTAAGCGAACTTTCCAGACACCTAAAGACATTGTTATATTTCAAATAGTTTTAGCCGTACAAAAATTAGAGCAGAAAATGCAGCTTTGCGACAAGAAAGGAAGATAAAATTGCAGAACATTTGCTTAGGTCTATACAACAGTAGAAGGGCGGACCAAGTAAAACAATTTCAACAATTTTGGTGAAGAAGATGATGAAAATGAGGCAGAAAATTGGAGCGTATATGGGAGTTTTAAAACAGACCAAGTATAATCATTAAAAACACAAAAAAATAAGGCTATACCAAACAAAAGAGAAAAGATTGTTGAAAGAGGTATTTCTATTCAAAAAGTTTAATTTTTTCTCTTTTTTTTCGGTTTTCGTTTTTTGTTATTTTTCCGCTGTTACGATATTTTTTTGGTTTCACAAATGTGAAACCATTTATTAAAACAAAAAATTGCAAAATTATGGACTAAATAAATCCATTTCAGTTTTACGAACAGTACTACTCGTTAAAAGATATTGGACATCTTTTTGTTCTCGCTACCGCAAACTGAGACCTTAATCTATTCCGTTTATTTGCTTTTTCTCTCTTTTTTTTGCCTTTGTTTTTCTGTCCTTTCTATACATTTTTTGGCAAGAATAGAACGGTTAATCGCTATTATCTGAAGTCAGCAAGAAAATAAATTTGAATATGGAAAACTTTAATAGTAATGATTGGTTACGAATTGAGAACAAATCAGTCAACGATGAAAATGCAGAGACTAAAAAGAGTCTTTTTGATGATGTGTAATAAAAGCACAAAAGTTTACCTTTTTATCGACTTTTCACTCGAACTGCTCGACGATGCCTGTACAGTACACCGGTGTTTTTCAGGGACTAAAACATCGTTTTCTGAATCTGTCATACGAGATAAGCCGGAATCCTAGATGGAGACAATTGCAGTAAGATGAACAAATAAAACTTTATTATTTTTTAAATTAATCAACTTTTAGCAGACGTAAAACAGGTTTTATTATTTTTCAAAAATATGCGAGAAGCCTTCATCCTGCAGTAGAGGCTAGCTTAACCTAAGCAAAAAGAGAATTGTAGAAAATAAAATACTAGATTTATGTCTATAAAGCCTATTTTAACGCATTAAATCTAGCAGCTGTAAAGCAATTTATTAAAACTACAGTCAAACCTTTTCCAAGGTAGAATTACTGGAATTCGGATCAGTCATCAAACCTTTATCCTCATCCATTATAACAGAATGTGGTTTTATTTTTGAATTTGACTGTAAATTACATTCATCAGTATTGATAACCTAAAAAAAAAAATGAAGGAACAGTTTTTCAGCATATAAAAACAATTGAAACTTCTTATATACTACAGCACCGTCAATCAAACTTTTCAGCAAATAAACATCGTCTCCTAAATAATAGAACAGGAAGCAGTTAGTCTCTTAAAAGCAATCTATCTATCAGTTAGTGCAAAGCTGAAATAAAGTTCTATTAAAAGCTGTCTTTTAACCTGTTTTTAGACTTATTTAAATTTGAAAAGTACGTAACACTCAAAGTCTATCTACGATAGATGGTAAGCCATATACCATATGTTTAATATGATGTTTGATTTAATAAAAAAACAGTAAGCTTTTGAATTAATTAATTAAACCCATAAAGAGACCAATCAGTAATTAGTACAATTTTTCTAGCACTAATCTCGGGTAACTGGACCTCAAAACAAACTTAATTATTCAGTTGAGTAAAAAAAATTGGCTTTTTGTAGTTTTAATAATATAGATGCTTAGGAGATTATTTACAGTCGATAAATAAATTAAAAGGTAACATAAAACAAATGCATTCTGCCAACCATTCAGACATTCGGGGATAATTTACTGCAAAAACAGAAAAAAAAAAAAAGAAACAGCAGTAGCTAGACTGATCTATTAAGATGGAAGTCACTAAAAACTGCTAACAGTTTTAAAAAAAAAAAACAATTATTTAAGTTGAACTATAAAATTATTGCTTTGTTTATAAAAATAAAAAAGAATGACCAATTATTTAAGCACCTTCCGCAGCAATAAAACAGTGTTGAAAAAAAAAAAAAGAATAGTTAGAATTTTATTAGAACTTTTTTAATCCCTTTAAAAAATGCACTTTTTTAACAGTTTAATTATGCTAATAAAACGCTTTTAAAAGACTATAAAATGACACACTAAAAATAAAAAAATTTTTACCAGTTTTACCAAAAGTGAACAAAATTGTCGCCTAAAAACTTTAGTGCTTTTTTAACCAGTTTTTTTTTGGCTTTAACAACAACTTTCTGTAACCACAGATTATAACTGTTTGATGAAATTAAACAGAAGTAAAAAAAAAAAAACCAAAAACTTTTTTCTGCTTAACATTCTTAATTTTGCTAATTCTTTTGACCTTTATCAATAAACAATTGTTGTTAAGACCGTCAGTTATGATCATATTATTAAAAAAAAAAAGAATCCATAAAAAGAAGAAGAAGAAGTTACAGAATAAACGGCAGAAGCAGATGAATGTAGCAAAAGTAAAAAATTTATTCTAACTTTTTTTTTTAGACTCTCTTAGTTCTGTTCAAATGAGACTAACCAGCAGAACTGACTGTTTGAACTTTGGAGATCCAGTGTTTCAGTTTACTTAGTTGCTTCTTCTCCTTTCTTTATTCTTTTTCCTTTTTTTTTTTTTTACTGTAGATTACCGACAACTATCATCTCAAAAGCATTTTACCGCTATAGCATACAACAGATATTACATTTCTAAAATACATTTTCAGTGCTTCAAAAATAAAACAAAAAAAAAAAAAAAGAAAGAAAGAAGAGAGTTTTTCTTTGTGCTTATTTATTCACTTAATATATTATGACTTACAGCTAAATCCATTTCTGCGGTCTCCTCATTGCTTCTATTGCAATTAAACAGATTTTTTAGCAGTGCAACGAGACCAAATAAAGCAATAAAAAAAAAAAATGCATCAATGTAACACAAACAACACTTTCCAATTCAACCAAAACTTAGTTGGTTAATTTAGAAAATTCTTCTGTCAATTAGATAAAGAAATTATTCTTTGTAAAGTTTTCCTTTCCTTTTATTTCGTTGCAGATTCGCTTTTCTTTGCACATAAAAAAGAAACATCAAAAAACATTTTTGTTGAAGAAATAATAGTAAAAAAAAACAAAAAAGTAAAATTCTTTTTTTAAACTATACGACTTAAAGAGAAAAGTCAAAATAAAAAAAAAAAAAAAAAAAAAAAAAAAAAA